TTTGGTTTTTCGAGACAGGGTTTCTCTGTGTAGCCCTGGCTGTCCTGGAACTCACTCTGTAGACCAGGCTGGCCTCAAACTCAGAAATCCACCTGCCTCTGCCTCCCAAGTGCTGGGATTAAAGGCGTGCGCCACCACCGCCCGGCTAGAATAGCAAGTTACTAAGTGGTTACCTGTTAATGCTGTGGATTGATCATGCTAGCATAGCAATGCATGATTTTTTTTTTTTTTAAATTGGTCTGGTTGAAGAAATGGCTCAGCAGTTAAGAGCACTGGCTACTCTTCCAGAGGACCCAGGTTCAACTCCCAGCACCCAAATGGCAGTTTACAACTGTCTTTAACTTCTGCACCAAGGGATATGACACCCTCACCCAAACATAACATGCAGTCAAAACACTAGTGTATATAAAATAAAAGTAAATTTTTTAAAAATTGGTCAAGCCAGGCATTGTTTTGGTGTGTGCCTTAGGGCAGAGGCAGATAGATCTTGGTGGGTTCCAGGCCAGCCTTTTACACAGTGAGTTGCAGGACAGCCAAGGCTACATAGAGAGACCCTGTCTCAAACAAAACAAACAAGCCATGATGGCACACACCTTTAATTCCAGAGAGACACAGGCATAGACCAACCTGGTCTACAGAGCAAGTTTCAGGACACCTGGGGGGCTACACAGAGGAACCTTGTCTTGATTTTTTTTTTTTTTTTTTGAGACAGGGTTTCTCTGTGTAGCCCTGGCTGTCCTGGAACTCACTCTGTAGACCAGGCTGGCCTCAAACTCAGAAATCCGCCTGCCTCTGCCTCCCAAGTGCTGGGATTAAAGGTGTGCGCCACCACCGCCCAGCGAAACCTTGTCTTGAAAAAAAAAACAACTTGTCTGGCAGTGGTTTTTCTCAAAAAACCAAAATAAAAAAAAAAAGAAAATATAAACAACCAACAAAACAAGAAACTAAATGGAGGGGCTGGAGAGATGGCTCAGCAGTTAAGAGCACTGACAGCTCTTCCAGAGGTCCTGAGTTCAATTCCCAGTAACCACCTGGTGGCTCACAACCATCTGTAATGGGATCTAATGCCCTCTTCTAGTGTTTCTGAAGAGAGCAACAATGTACTCACATAAAATAAATCTTTAAAAAAAAAAAAAGAAACTAAGTGGAATAAGACATAAATAAATGGGGCATTAATAATGAGAGGTGTGTATTGAATGCAGTCTGTACGACATTGGCTCTAGTAGAGGCGGAGGCAGACTTGAGAACTGATACAGATGAACAGGAGATACAGGCATCTTGTTATTTTGGACTAGTGCCAAAAAAGGGTAGGTGATGTGGTGGAGAGTTGAGATGGGGCTGAGAAAGTGGGAATAGTCGTAGAGTCCTGATAACTGCTTGGCTCCTGCAGGAATTTTTCACGGACAGCCTGTGGGGCACACTCCCCCACTCATGGCAAGAAGCGCTGGATGGACTAAACCCACCACAGCTGGCCACCCTGCTGCTGGGAATGCCCAGAGAAGGGGAGGAGATCAGGTATGTATAAGCCAGAGGAGCCCTGCGCTGGGGACTGAGCACTGATCCATGTGTTGAATCTTATGTAGATAGTCTCATTGGATCTTCCTGGCAGCCAGGTCATAAGCTAGTACACGCAGGATGTGACTGTGGGCTATTCACTAGCAGCCTGGGCTGGACTATCTCAGGTACAGGTCTGTGTGGCCACTCACCCTGCTGGCCCTGAAGTCCACAGCTTGTGCCCTCGCCTTTACCCGGACACCTCGCTTTCACACCCCATCAGAATTCCTGGAGAACCCCAGCCAGAGCTCCCGACTAACAGCTCCTTTTCGGAAACATGTCAAGCCCAAGAAGCAGCATGAGATCCGGAGGCTGGGAGAGGTGAGGAGACTGCCGAACGCCAGACTGTGAAAGCCTAGCACCCCTAAAGCCTGTGTTAGGAAGGCATCTGTCCCTCACTGCAGATACCGGAACCAGCGACTTCCGAAGACCCCTTCCTTAGCAAACATGCTAGAACCCTGTCTGTTGGTGCTGGGAGTGTTTCCTGTCCATTTCTGGGTTGATCGATAGCTGTGCATGGGTGACTATTATTCCTGTTCACTGCAGTCAATTTTTGGTTTTACAGCCTACCAGGCTTTTGCTTTTGAGTCATTCACTTAAAGGGCAAGCAGGTCAGGCTAGGTGCCTCCCATTTTCTCAATTCTAGTTTGACATCTCTTATCAATGTGGTATCCTCAGTCTTACCCTATCATCTAGGCTCCTACCATCCTTCTGAGTATTTGTTTCAGGAGTCAGGAGCCAATACCAAGAAGAAACTTTTGTTTCTTCTTTCAGTTGGTGAAGAAGCTTAGTGATCTCACAGGCTGCACCCAAGTTGTGGATGTGGGCTCAGGCCAGGTGAGTCAAACTCCAGGAATGGCAAATTAGCAGGCAGAATGCCCATAGAAGCAGGTGCTAAGACGTGGGAAGGGGGTGGGGGGAGCGTGGAATATTAAGCCTTTAGTGAAGCCTAAGACGACACCATTGATATGGTGACAGTCAACACTGTCAGTGCTGTCCTCCCTCCTGACTCCAGGGCCACCTCTCTCGCTTCATGTCTCTGGGGCTGGGGCTGATGGTGAAGAGCCTTGAAGGGAATAAGAGGCTGGTGAAGAGAGCTCAGCATCTAGACCAGGAGCTCCTGCAGGCTCTGGACAAAATGGAGAAGAGGAACCCGAAGGTAAGTTGCCCTGCTTGCAGCCTGCACTATAGAAGCAGGGTGCTTGGCTGGAACTCTATTAAGACTCATTTTCTACTTCCAAATTTCTCCTATTTATTCCTGCTAGGTTTTTTGTTCCTTTCCCCAAAGCATCCACACAGCTCAAAAGCACTTTCTAGTCTGTATATCTCCATACCAGTTTGTTCTCATAGTAAACTGATATGGCCTGATGGGTAGTATTTGATGTGCTAGGGATGAAACCCATCACCACTGAGCTATATCCCTAACCCACAGGCAGGTGGTAGACTCATTCATTACCTACACAGAAACCGGAAGAACTAGGATATAGTTCAGTGGTAGGGCACTTGCTGAAGCATTCATGAAGCCCTTAGCACCACCAAAAGAAAAAGGGAAACTGAGTTAGATACAGTGGTATGGGCCCATTAATTCCAGCACTGGGGAGGCATAGACAGGATCTGTGCAGATTTGCCTGCTTGGTCAACATATTGAGATCCAGGTCAGAAAAGGCTATAAAGACCTTGTTTCATACCTAATGCTACCCAAAAGAAAAAGAAAAATGACGTGAAAAATGAAAAGGTCTATAGTCTGTAACAAAGATCTCATCCCCTGTTCAGAGTCTAACTCTTGTGCCCAGCTTCTCACCCATATAACTCAGAGGACCCACTGCAGCTTGAGGATAGCCATCCAATTTTGCATTTGCCTTTGTTTTTCCTCTCCCCATAGGTGGTGCAAAGTGGCCCTCGACATCGCCCTCATCACGTGGTTCAGTGGGTCAGCCCCACAACTCTGTGTGAGGAGCTTCTGCTTCCTCTGGAGATGCCAGGCCAGAGTAGCGCCCGTCTGCTACTCACAGGCCTTCATGCTTGTGGGGATCTTAGTGTTGCCTTGCTGAGACACTTCTGCTGCTGTCCTGAAGTGGTGGCCCTGGCTTCGGTGGGCTGCTGCTACATGAAACTCAGTGACCCTGGCAGCTACCCACTGAGTCAGTGGATAGCTGGGCTGCCTGGCCATGAACTACCCTACAGGCTCCGGGAGGGTGCCTGCCATGCTCTGGAGGACTATGCGGAGAGATTACAGAAAGCAGGGCCTGGCCTGCAAACACATTGCTTCCGTGCAGCACTGGAGACAGTTATCCGACAAGTCTGCCCTGAGCTTCGGAGGCCTGGAGTGCAAGGAATCCCCAGGGTCCATGAACTCAAGATTGAAGAGTGAGGTCTGGGGAGGCTCCCCACCCATCTTCACTTGTATCCATAGCCAAAGAAAATGTGTACCAGAGGAATGGGTGTTTTATGTTGAGGGCAGAGTGGGCTATGTGAGATTGTCTCAAAAACACAAAACATGCAGATGTAGTAGCTCAGGCCTTTGACCCCAGCACCTGGGAGTCACAGGTCAGCCTGAACTACAAGACGAACTTCAGACTACATAGAGATACTCTATCTCAAACACTTACACAAGCCAGAAATGTTAGACTAGGTACTGTGGTCTGCCTGGGGAGGCTGAGCTAGGAAAACTACTTGTACTCGGTGTGGGGCAAGCCTGAGCAAAAATGACCCTTTAAAATGACTATTTAAGCAAATTAGCTTCTAGACAAAAATTTAAGTTGGGAGGTGGAAGTTTCTGGAGCTAACTGATTTACGGCTGGTCCCACAGATATGTGCAACAAGGGTTACAGCGAGTGGGTCTGGATCCCCAGCTACCCTTGGATCTGGCTGCCCTCCAGGCCCACCAGGCCCAAGAGAATCGTGTGGTGGCCTTCTTCAGCTTGGCCCTCCTGCTGGCCCCACTGGTAGAGACACTGATTCTGCTGGACCGGATGCTCTATCTTCAGGAGCAAGGTGAGGTTATGAGGTTTTGGAGTTCCCTTGGGTCCTTGGAGTCTGCTGGGCATGGCCACTACCTGATGGGTGAGGTATTTGTTGACAAATGTAGATTTTTAGCATCACCTCCTGAGACTGGTTTTGGTTTTAAAATGTGTATACATATACCCCATGCTTTTGGATGTCCTATGCCCTGGACCTGGTGCTGCAAGTAGTTATGAGCCACCTGATGAGTGTTTTAGGAACCAAACTTGAGGATGCTGAAAGAGCAAGTTCTTAACCCCTGAGCCCTCTTCAGCACCAACGAGGTGAGGTGGATTTTAAACAAGCATCCCAAGTATTGAGAAAGCACATGGGCTGCCTCTCAAACTAGTAGTTTGAAGTCTTCCCAGTTTGTAATAAGGAGCTGTGTTACAGGACGGATGGAGAGAGCCCGGGCTGGACTCCTGAGTCCTTTCTAATTAGCCCTCATGTTCTTTCTCCTAGGTTTCTATGCTGAGCTCCTACCCATCTTCAGTCCTGAACTCTCTCCGAGAAATCTGGTTCTGGTGGCCACCAAGACACCCCTGGGTCAGGCCTTCGCCACTCTTGAGACTGAAGACTGCTGACAGTCTAAAACCACCAGTGCCAATATGGCTAGATACCATAACTTGTCACCATTTAGAATGCCCTGCATCCTGCTGTGATTCTGGCTCTTTGCAAACTTCAGATTTGTACCCTTTCTTAAGAAAGGGGGGTAACTTAAGACTTAACTCCTTTCTCTATAAATACCCTGTAAATTTTATTTATTAAAACTTAACTCCTGGGCAGTGGTGGCGCATGCCTTTAATCCCAGCACTTGGGAGGCAGAGGCAGGTGGGTTTCTGAGTTCAAGGCCAGCCTGGACTACAGAGTGAGTTCCAGGACAGCCAGGGCTACACAGAGAAACCCTGTCTAAAAAAACAAAAACAAAAAAAAACTTATGTTTCTGTAAATAGGGAAAGCCTTCTTGCTTCCATACCCAGACATGCAGGACCTGTTCCTGGGAAGGCTAGCACCTACCCAGTCTATCCTTTTGCTCATCACAAAAGCTGCACCATGCCTGAGCTCTCTAAAATGCAGGCACTTGGGAGAGGAAGAAGGGTGGTGTGGACACCAGCTGCACTCAAGGCTCTTTATTGGTGTCTTAGAAAGAAAGGCCTCCACCCTTAGGGTGAAGACTGGACAGGCAGAAGCGGCACTCTGAGGCTCAATACCAATAAATTTTCTTGAATCTTCGAGTCTCCTGGATCCCCATGGCCTCCATTACATCTTCTTCTAATGTCTTTAACCGAGGCACATAGGTTTTTTCTAGAGCATCTTCCACTGATGTGTCCTTGGGGCCATCTGTTGAGTCAGAAGAAAAGTTTGCCAACTCTATTCCTTGGAGTCTTGGGCTTTACACATGCTAGGCAAGTGCCCTACCACCCAGGTACATTCCTAGCCCCAGCAACTTCGCTTTTCCTCTCAAACTTCACATCCCTACTCTTCCTGCCCATACTCAACTTACCAGTCCATGTTTCAGGGACAATGCCATCTGCTCTAGGAAATTCAGGTTTAGGGATAATTCTCCCAGATCTTACAGAGACTCGAACACGCTCTCCTGCCTCAGTAAATCTCCACTGGATCTCAGTGGGTTTCCTAGTGGGTAGAAAAAAAAAAATGAATCTAGCTTGGAGCCTGTGTCACCCTCTCAACTCCAAAGTGAAGGCAGTGATTGAGAACCTCTGGGTTACCACCTTTGTTTTTGTCTCTATCAGGGTTACTGACAGAATTGTGTACAAGAAACAGACCTGAGTTCCAGCATATCCAATAGACTATTCTCATGTGGTAAATGGGTATGCCCAACACCTGTGTGAACTCAAGAGTTAGAAGCCCCTTTGATCCTCGCCCCTGTGCTTGCCTGTCCACAGGATCCACTAGCTTGACCTGGTGATGAAGCAAGGGGGCTTCACTAGGAATCATGGTCCCTCGGTGATCCTTGGTTCTGCCAATATAGCGGTAATGCTGTCCAAGAGAAGGCAGATGAAAACAAATGTGATAGGGATTTGCCTCCTATTGCTTAGCATGTACAGCCCAAGTCCAGTTGTACAACCTGCCCCTCAGCCAATTTCCTGTCTTCCCCATGCTGCTCTTAAAAGAGGACAGATGGGGAAGATTTCTCAAGACTCACCGTGTTCAATCCCTCCAGGACAACCCAGTTTCGCTGCCGAATGACTTGGACCACTTTGCCCTGCTTCCCAGCATCCTTGCCTTCTAAGATTTCCACCTGTAGGAAGAGGCAAGGAGAAGGGCTGGAAATTGTTGCCCACTAGATTTCCAGTCCCTCTGTCTTGAGGTCCTTACCTGGTCTCCACAGAATAGGTGCCAGTCTTCATCAGAGATGGGTTCTACCACTACGGGGCGCCGCCTGCTCCATGGAGGATTCTTCCTTTTGTCTGATATGGAACCTGGGCGACTCATTCCATAACGGTAGTTGGGGGAGAGAGTGGCTTTGCATGCCAAGGCCAGCAGGGCCGAAAGCCTCATAGCTAGATGCCAGAAATCTCACCAGGGAAAGACTCAAAAACTTTCTTTGCCAGCTGAGTCAAGAAAAACAGAATGAAGATTTGAACAAGGAACGTTTGCTTATTTATTTATGTATATGAGTGAATGCATCATTCCTATCTTCAGACATCCCATAAGAGGGCATCGGATCCCATTACAGATGGTTGTGAGTTACCATATGGTTGCTGGGAATTGAACTCAGGACCTTTGGAAGAGCAGTCGGTGCTCTTAACTGCTGAGCCATCTCGCCAGCCCCGGGACTTGAGACAAGGTCTCACTATATATCTTTGGCTGACCTAGAACTCACCGTGTAGACAAGGCTGACCTGAATCTATCTGCTTGTCTCCTTCCCTAGTGCCAGGACTAAAGGCGTGTAGCACCACATGAGCCCCAGGACCGTGATTAAAGCACTGACTCTTGCATAGAGTTCATCTCACTGACACTCCTCACAGGCTATCTTTACAAATGAGAAAACAAAAAAGTAATGTAACTTTCATCCATGGGGACGTCAGTATTCAACCCCCAGTGTATCTGACTTCTAAGTAAAAAAATTCATGGGACCAGGGGCTACACTATCTAGCTTTCTTGGATTGCTATCTCAGGAGAGCTTGGCATTGAAGATACTTAAGACGGTTATTACGTGAATACATGAACATTAAAGCAGGAGGAAAACAGGTAATGGAAGAGAGTGCTAGGACAGCCCAAAGGCAAGCAGTCACAAGACAAGTGAACAGGTAAGAGCAGGGATAAAAAAAAAAAAAGCCTAGAATGTCCCTATGTAATAGGCCCAGATCTTAGCACAACTGACTCAGCATGTACACAGCACCACCATCCAAAATGAAAACAGAACTAATCCATTAAAGTCCATAGATCTGTGGACGTCTCTAAATATACGTACCTTGCTTTTTGGCTTCTGTAGTGGTTCTCGCTATTATTGTTAACTGAAGTATGTCAACCAAGATATTTGTATGCTTAAAAGCTCACCTTGAGGAATGCTTGGAACTACACTGGGATCCCAAACACTCAATGTAGTCACCATCCTGATATTATTATTACCTTGAAGCCCTGTTGGAGCAGTCTTCTCTGGTGGATACCCCACAACACTTATCCCACTTCTACTCTCAGGCACGGAAAATCCACTCCTCCCTAAGCACAGCTTTTTCTTTAAGAGTTAAGGATTCCAAGCCTATATACTCAAAGGTTGTTGACTCCTATATTTTCTATCTAAGCATGTGCTAATAGACTCCAAAATTTGGATAGTGGACTAAATTGGGTTACTCAAATAATTGGTATTAAAAAAAAGAAAAAGAAAGCCGGGCGGTGGTGGCGCACGCCTTTAATCCCAGCACTTGGGAGGCAGAGGCAGGCGGATTTCTGAGTTCGAGGCCAGCCTGGTCTACAGAGTGAGTTCCAGGACAGCCAGGGCTATACAGAGAAACCCTGTCTCGAAAAACCAAAAAAAAAAAAAAAAAGAAAAAGAGGTGCTTTAAGCCAGGCAATCCAGCTACTTGGGAGGCTGGGGTAGAAGGATCACAAGTTCAAGACCTGCTTGGACAACTTTGTGAGATCCTGTCTCAAAAGTAAAAAGTGGCCAGGCAGTGGTGGCACACGCCTTTAATCCCAGCACTTGGGAGGCAGAGGCAGACAGATTTCTGAGTTTGGGGCCAGCCTGGTCTACAGAGTGAGTTCCAGGACAGCCAGGGCTACACAGAGAAACCCTGTCTCGAAAAAAACCAAAAAAATAAAATAAAAAATAAAAAATATGTTTGAATGGGGAAGAGGGAGAGAGGCTCTGCAGTTAAGAGCACTTGCAGAGGCCCATCCATTACCCCAATTCCTTGCCCTGTTTTGACCTTTATGGGTAACAGGAACATACATGGTGTACACGTATACATGCAGACAAACACTCCTACACATGAAAAAGGACCAATGATGAGCTCAGTAGGACATGCCTTTTATTCTAGCACTTGGATGACAGATCTCAGTGAGTTCAAGGCCAACCTGGTCTACATTATGAGCTCTGGGCCATTCAAGACTACATAGTGAGACCCTGTCTCAAAACACAGACACACACACACACATCATAGTAGCAAAAGTATAATAAAATGCTAAATGTGCTGGATCAGTCCTTGGAAGTCAGAAGCATGTGAGTTCAAGGCCAGTGTAGCCTACACAATAACCTACAGAGTAGTCTGTGTTGGCATTTCTTCTACACTCCGCCCAACAGCTACCTAGCAACAGCCAGGTAGGCCTGGCTTGCTATAAAAGGAACTGTTTGGCCTCTCAGACTCTCAGTCTTTCTCCCCATCTATACTCCACGTGTTTCTGGCCAACCTCTTCTTTTCTCTTTCTGTCCTTCTCTGTCCCCTCTTTCTCTGCCTCTATTTCCTTCTCAACTCCCTTCCCATACCCCCAATAAACTCTATTCTATACTAAATAGAATATTTAGTATTTGTAGTATGGCTGGTAATTCAGTGGGGAGGAATGACTCAGCATGGGCCCACTGAGGTATCACCTCCCACCACACCTTACAGCACTATACAAAACATATCCTTGGTTTTTATAAAAACATTTTCAGTCTGAGCTACAATGTGAGACCCATCTGAATGAAAACATCGAAGTAAAAAGGCTCAATGTAGAATGCTAGCCTAGCACGCAGTAGGCTTTCTAAATAGTTGCTACTGGCGTGGTACCATGCTAAATAGCATCTCACAGAAGCCTAACAACAGCGATGAAAAGTTACCCATAATCTCGCCACTTACTTGTGCTTTGTATTTGTGTGTAGTGGTGGTGATCAAACTTGGGTATTCACATATGACAGGCAAGCATTTTTTCTAAGTGAACTACTCCTCCTTTTTTATACATTTAAGAAAAGGAGATGGGGACAAAGTCCAGTGTTACCATGATGCTAGAGAAACAGAGGGACTATTCCTACCTAGATCAAATATATGACCACTAAGCACTAACTACTACCTGACAAGTCGAAAACTGAGAACCCAGGAAAGGATGCAAACATCAATATCCAATTAAACGTTGCCCTCTCCTAGTTCATGCAGCTTCACAAGGGGGGGGGGGTGTCTGTCTTGCTTGCTTGTTTTAAAAACTCCTTTAGGCTCTGGACACACCCCCACTCCATCTTTTCCTTTGGTTCCCTACACAACCTAGATGCTAGTGTCACTTCCGTGGTGGGGCTGGCTTTCTTCTCTGTACAAGTCCTCAGGTCACCGCCTCAAGCAATTCCCTTGACAGACTCACCCAGATCTGAGGGTAGCTCCAACCTCCTAGTAAAGAGAAACCCAAGCCCCAGTTTAAGACTAGAAAAAGGAAGTCCTTTCGCTTATCCACCTTCCGATGTTCCCCGTCGCCGAGCAGCCTCACCTTCCCCCAACTTTCTGTCCACGTGCGTTCTCTATGAGGGCAGTCCCCATTCACCGGATTTCTGGGAAATGTAGTCTAATTGCGGAAAGGAAGGCTGAAAACAAAACAAAACCGAAGCGAGTCTCCCAGCCTCTGGGAACTGTAGTCCGTCGCTACAAAATGAGCTAGAAACAGGAAATTTAGCCAACGGTAGGAAATCCAGACTGGGAGAGGCATGTCGGGAATTGAAGGCGAAAGATATGCTAATTTGCTGCTTGTTTGTACGTGCTCTTCGTGGAGGCGACTGGGAGTTGTAGTTCGCAGAGAATATGGCTCCATTTTCTTGGTAGTTATGGCTTCCTATTCAAAGCAAAGGGTATCCATTTCTAGGTGAGATTACAACCTTTATGTCCTGGCTCTTCTCGGCTTGAGACGCGGCATGTTAAAAAAAAAAAAATGCCCCGCCTTTGCAGAGAAAAGATCGATTATCGGTCCTTCCAATATTAGATTAGCAGTCAGTCTTGTGTGAAGTGTACCGAGAGATTTCAACTATGTCGCCCGCTCACCTGTCCTCTCACTATCCGTGGGCAGGCATCCCTAGCAAAATTTAGCAGACCAGATCTCGTGTATCAGCTCGCTATTTGACTCCACTCACCTTCCTGCTCTGATTAGATTTAAGTATGTTTCCTTTCATTCCTGAGTCTGCTGATGACTAAGAATTTTGAAGCGGCTTTCCCCTATAACCCTTCCATTTTGTAATGTTAGAAACTTCATTAGTGGGCAAACTAACCAGTGACTAGAAGAGCCTGAAGAAACTACCTTTGTTCTTAGGATGTGTATGACTAGTAAAGAATTCCTGAAGCCATCAACATCAAATGTGTGTGTCACTGACCTCAAACCTCCACCTCTAAAAAAGCAATTAACTGTTAGACCATTCTAGGCCTAAAGCCTTAGGGAGAAGGCAGGCCCTTGCCTGGCATATCCCTAAACCAGAAACCCAGCAACATTAACTTGGAATAAGAGCCCTTCATCTTCTCAACTGCTTTTGTTTTCTGAGAGTGGTTCATGTAGTCCAGGCTGGCCTCAAACTTGCTAGTTGGCTTCTGCCGTTCCTTCCCAGGTGCTAGGGCTAACCATCAAACCTGGTTTTATATGGTGCTCCAGGCTGAACCCAGCCCTAGGGCTTACTGCATGCTCAGTAAGCATCCATCCATCCATCCATCCATCCATCCATCCATCCATCCATCCGACTACTCTGTCGCTGTCTTCAGACACACCAGAAGAGGGTATCTGATCCCATTACAGATGGTTGTGAGTTACCATGTGGTTGCTGGGAATTGAACTCAGGATCTCTGCCAGAGCAGTCAGTGCTCTTAACCACTGAGCCATCACTCCAGCCTAGCACTTATCTTAAAAAACAGTAATTCTTCCCTAAAAGCCTTTTATTTTTAAGACAGGCTCTATGCAAACTCTGGCTCTTCTGGAACTCAATATGTAGGTGGGTTTGGTCTAGAGCTCAGATTTCCCACCTGCCTCCAATGCTGGAATTGAAGATGCACCATTGTGCCTGGCTAAAACCTTGTCTTTGGACTTAGAAGCTGACATGTGGCCACCAACCTAACCAGCATTAAATGGTAACCACTCCTCCACTTCCCAACACTTTTTAAGAGACTGATCATGAGACCAGTAAGAAGACCCTACTTAAAAACAAAACAACAAAACACCAACCAGGAAAGGCTACAACTGAAATCTCAGCACTTAGAAGAGTTGTTTAAGGTTATCATCAGCTAGTTAGTTATGTGTCCTGGGCTACATATGACCCTGCCTTAGACACGTACTTTCCATGACCCTGCTCCATCTCTTGTGAAGTATCATCCCTAAGGTATATATATATACCGTCTCATGTACACCCCAGACTCCTCCCGAGCTTGCTGCGTATCTGCAGATGACTGTAGAGGATTTTTTAAAGTTTCTTGGGGTGGTCAGACAGCTCAGTAGAGGCTCCTACCTGCCTGACATGGGTTCAATCCTGGATTTGCACATCGGTGGGAAGAAAAACTGACTCCTGCCAATTGTCCTTGGCACACTTTCACCAAGTAAAATGTAATAAAGCTTTAGATTTTTATTTTGCTTGTATATAATGTGTATTACATATGTTCCTGTGCCGAGGGTCAGAAATAGATGTCCTTAGAACTGAAGTTGTGGCCGGGTGGTGGTGACGCACGCCTTCAATCCCAGCACTTGGGAGGCAGAGGCAGGCGGATTTCTGAGTTTGACGCCAGCCTGGTCTACAGAGTGAGTTCCAGGACAGCCAGGGCTACACAGAGAAACCCTGTCTGGAAAAAAAAAAAAAAAGAAGAACTGAAGTTGTGGATGCCTGTGAGCCACTATGTGGGTGCTGGCAACTGAACCCAGGTCCTCTGCAAGAAAATGCTCCTACCTGTTGAGCCAAGTCTCCAACTGTTTTTTTTTTTTTTAAAGATTTATTTATTTCATTTATGAGTACACTGTAGCTGTCTTCAGACACACCAGAAGAGGGCATCCAATCTCATTACGGATGGTTGTGAGCCACCATGTGGTTGCTGGGATTTGAACTCAGGACCTCTGGAAGAGCAGTCAGTGCTCTTAACCACTGAGCCATCTCTCCAGCCCTCTCCAACTGTTATATAGTCGGAATTTTTTTTTTTTTTGAGACAGGGTTTCTCTGTATAGCCCTGGCTGTCCTGGAACTCACTCTGTAGACCAGGCTGGCCTCAAACTCAGAAATCCGCCTGCCTCTGCCTCCCAAGTGCTGGGATTAAAGGTGTGCGCCACCACTGCCCGGCAATGTTACTTTTATTACAAATCATTTTAAAAGACTTTTTACTTGTTGGGATTAGGAATTTAGCTCAGCACAAGGCCCTGGTTTTAGTCCTCAGCTCTGAAAGAATTATCTTTCTATACATGCTGGAGTGCAAACACCTGTGCCACTACACACCAATATAGGCATCTTCCAGGAATCGGGTCTCTCCTTCCACACTCTAGAGGAAGATGATACACAACCAGATGAGTCCTGTCTGCATTCCAACTAGCCAAAGTACTTCACTCAGCTTTTTTTGGTCTCTGGAATAGAACTCAGGTAATCTGACTTGTGTGGCAAGTATGAACTTCTGATCCTCCCGCTTCTATTTCCGGAGTGTTGGGGATTCTAAGCATGTATGCATCACACCACTGTGCTGGATGGAACAAATCTAGGGCTTCGGATTTGTGCACACTAGGCAATCACTACCAACTGAGGGTTGTGTATTTATGTATATATCCCTAGTCCCTTATATCCTATTTCTTATGCAAGTTTTGTGTGTGTGTATATCCATGACTGGAGTGTAAGGTGTTCAAACATGGTCTTTTCCTATAGCCCAAGCGGGCGCTGAGCTTGTGATGCCCCTACTTTCCCACTACTGAAAGTCCAGATTTGTGCTACCACACCTGGCTTAAAATGTTAAGACTATTTGCTGAAAAGAAGGCTCAATAGTTAGAGCAGTTGCTGTTCTTCTAGGCTTGGGTTTCACCACTAAAACCCACACAAGGACTCACAACCATTCTTAACTCCAGTTCCAGGGGTACTAATAGCCTCTTCATGCGGTGCACATGTATGTGGGCAAAACACCTATAAAATAAAATATACCTTAAAATGTATAAAATGTATAAAAAATGTTTTAGAACCTCCAAGATGCTTGCAAGGGTAGACTGGATGATGTGGGTTTATAGGTCTGGTGTAGCAATGGAGGCTGAAGTCCTCCCACCTCCCCCCACCCCCAATCTGAGGAAGCCTTCTAGAGATTGTCTTTTTCCCTTTCTTCAGTTAACCCAGACACTTAAAAAGAATTAGTCAGAATCAGGATAGTAATCAACGGCTTTATTTTCCTAGAACTCAAATTGTCTATTGTTCTCAGAGCTACACTTCCAAAGCTACAGTCAGCAATTTTTCTTCAGAGCCCAGAGGAGGGATAGGAGTAAAAGACAAGAGAAGGGGCATAAGAAACCACGAGAAGAGGCTGGAGGACACTTTCCCTGTCTTCTCAGTGGGCTACAGACTGGATGTAAAAGAGAAAGCCAACCCCTATCAGAAGGTGAACCTCCTGGTGCACCTCAAAAATGGGTCAGTAGTGGGGAGAAAGGAACAGAAAGGGGAGCACACAAAGGGGCGGGTTAACTTTTTTTCTTTTTATTTTTTTGTGGGGTTTTTTTTGGTAATTTTCTTTTATTAAAAACATTTCCTAAAAAAATGTGTCTTTTCCTTTGTCTGGGTGAAATATCTGACTACAGGCTGGCCTTGAACACTGGGAAGTGGGAGGAAGGCAGCAGGTCTCCCCAGGTGATCTCACCTCTACCCTGAGATCTAAAGAGACATTTCCTCAATGCAAATCAGTTGATCCTTCAGCTCTCCACTCTCTCCAGGTCCTACTCCTTGGAAAATCCAAGGTCTAGATGTTAAACTACAATTCCTTGAACCCTGGGGTCAGGGAAAAGTGTTCCCAAAAATCAGCAAGGACTTCTGTATGGATGGGAGCCCCTCTCCACAGCGTCCCGTTTCTTGAATGTAGGCAGATGCGAAAATAGGTGGGGGCTGGAGACAGGAGCTCAGGTAGACAATGCCACACATGAACCCACACTTATATTCCTTCACCTCCACTGCTGCCCCAGCCCACCCCAAAGGTCTAGAATGCCTGCAGCAGGGCAGAGGTGTCAAGAGGTGGAAACAGCAGCCCAGACCACAACAGAAACCCTAGGAAACAAATGTAAGGAGATACAAAGGCCTCATCTCATCCTGGGGCACAAGGCCCTGACTCAGGTCACAGGGCGTATATGGGAAGGGAGCTGGAGGCGAGGGCCAAGACAATCTCCAGGAGTGGGCTTAAAGAGGAGACAGTGAGTGAAGGAATAGGGTGAATTGGGCAGAAAAAGGGTTCCCAGTTTGCAGGCCATGGCCAGTTTCCCCAGTAGCACCCAGACAGCAGCAGGAACGGGGCAGGGGCTCCTCTTGAAACATTGGTGGCTACAGGCTGCAGGGGAGGGTGGGAGGGGAGAAGGGTTAATGGTGTGACCCTGGCCTGGCCTTACCCCAGCCAGTGCAGGTCTCTAGGGAGAGCCCACCCAGCCTCCAAAAAGGCTGACCACTGCAGGCCATTCTCTATGTCCTCTTCTCCACCTCCTCCTCCTCTCTGTAAGTGGCTAGGACCCCCCATCCCACTGCCAGGGTAGCTTACTCACCTCTCATGATCTCTGACGACCTGGGCTTCAGCCTCTTCCTTGGCAGCCTCTTCTTCTCCCTCTTCTTCCTCTGGAGGAGGTCCCTGGCCAGAGTCTGGCTCAGAAGGGGTGCTGTTCTTCTCCATTTCTACAGGGAGCGGCCGCTCGCCCTCTAAAGCAGCTATCTCCTTGTCCTCCTCTTCATGGTCTCCTGACTCCTTGGGACGTTTAGGGGAGTCCTAGGTAGATATCAGAGGACATGAACTGAGGATAGAGACAGCAAAAGTCAATAGCTCATCTCCCTGGGCCTCCTCCACTCCTCCTCAGGGTCTCTGAGTGATTCACTGTCCTGCTCCCTCTTCTCTTCTCCACTCTCAGATTCCCAGAGACTGGGAGCTGGATTTATACCTCAGACCCTGGGCTGCAAGACAGAGGCCATAAAAAGTGCCAAAGAGCACATGCTGGCAGTTACCTCCAGCATGTCCCCCGCTCTCCTCTTCAGCGTGCCCTTCTCATTCTTCTCCTTGGCTGGCTCATCGATGACCAGTTTCCCTTCCTCATCGCTGCTACCCTCTGCATTGCCCTTCTTGTCACCCTCATGGGCTTCAGGCTCCACTTCTGGCTCTTCCGTGCAGCTCTTTTTCTGGGAAGACTGTGTTGGAGACATCAGAGGCTGAGCAGTACCAGAGGCTAGCCCCTCCCAACCACCCCCTCCGACACTCACTCCTTCTTTTGCCCACCTCTCCCCCACCCCCACCCAGGTGCCCAGTCTCACAAGTGATTTGAGACCCACCTCTGTTGGATTAGCCCTGGGGTTAACCCACAGGCCGGGCAGGCAGGGCTCTGTGCAGGAGGGGGGAGGGCTGGAGCAGGAGGCAAAACCTCGGGTCAACTTCTCCCAAAGGGATCTGGGACCCGTTCCCCACGACCCCCGCTCCCCCTGCCCTCCCGCCTTGTCCTGCCCGGCTCACAAGAACCTCCTCTTGGAAGGCTGTGTCCTCTTACTAATGATGGACCCAACGAAGGCCTGTCCCACTTACCGCTTCCATCCTGTTCTTGCCCTCAAAAACCATTGACAACGGCCCCTAACTGTAAGTCACCCCATACCCCCTAACCCCTCTTGCAGAAATCCCATCTCTACCACCCCAAAGGCCCTGATATTCTGAAGACTAAGCATTGCCTCTGGGCAAGGCTCCTGGAGCCCACAACACACCTGCTTTCCAGGGGGTTGAGGGGACAACTAATTGCTCACCTGGTAGCCAGAGGCCTTGACTGTAGGGTTGTTCTCGATCTCCCACAGCCCCTCGCTGAACCCTTTCCTCTTGTTGGGCTTGCCAAACTTCTCCTTGGATTCCTCATAAGGGAAGAGGTCTTTGGGGCCCAGGAATGCCCTGGTAAGAGATAGGAGACTGTGCTTTCAAGCCCCAAGATGCCCCCAAGCTAAACAGCCAAACATGAACAGGTGATATCATCACCCCTTCACCACACTGGTGTTCCCATGGTGCCCCACCTGTATCCCACTTGCCCCTCACTCACGTCTCATGGGTCCCAAAAAAAAAGACTTGGTACTTGTTGGCTGTTGACTTCACTGCAGCCTCAGGCATCTCATCAATCTGGGACAAGAAAGGGAGAACAAATGTGAACTAGAGTCCAAGGCTCTTTAGTCTGGGGCAGCTAACCACCTAGACATTTGTATAGACCCAGGCAGAACACAGCTCTAGAGAGACTACCCAATTTGTAAAATACTTCTAGTAGTACACTTTGTCCAAACTAAATTAGATAGAAAAGGCCGAACCCAGTACATTTCCCTCCCTTTACCAGAAACTATCTTCTCCAGTGCCCGATCTTTGCTAAAGTGCCGTATCTCTGCCACTAGAAGACCAAAGCTGTCACTTTATATTGAGACAGTGCCTTGCTAGGAAGCCCAGGCTGGCCTCCAACTCAAAATCCTCCTGCCTCAGGCTCCTGACTACCCACACCAACATGCCCATCCCCAACTGTGAAATGTCAGAGGACTTCAGCTCTTCCAACGCCTTCTCAATGACCAGCTTGCCAACCTCTAAACCCTACCATCCCACCATCATGCTGCCCAGAAAGCTTCATCTCTGACCCATCAGCTGCCCCCGCCCCATGCCCCGTCCCCCAGCACACACACTGATAATCTTTCCTTAACAGTTCGGAGCTGGGTGGTGGTGGTGAACGCCTTTAATCCCAGCACTTGGGAGGCAGAGGCAAGTGGATCACTGAGTTCGAGGCCAGCCTGGTCTACAGAGTGAGTTCCAGGACAGCCAGGGCTACACAGAGAAACCCTGTCTCGAAAAAAAACAAAAGTTCCGATTTTTCCTTTTTAGAGACAAGATTTCTTTGTGTAGCCCTGGTTGTCCAAGAGCTAGCTCTTTTTTTAAAAAAAAAAGACTTATTTTATGTATATGAGTGCTTTATCTGCATGTACACCTGCATGCCATAATCAGGCATCAGACTCATTATAGATGGCTGTGATCCACCATGTGGTTGCTGGGAATTGAACTCAGGACCTCTGGAAAAGTGCTTTTAACCGCTGAGCCATCTCTCCAGCCTGAGAGCTAGCTCTTTAGACTAGACTGGCCTTGAACTCCATTTTCTGCAGCCTGAATGCTGAGAATAAAGGCATGTGCCACCAATGCCTGACTACAGTTTACAAATAACATATTACTTGCTTGATAATCATGTGGACTATCTGTACCTCTGTGTGTGTGTGTGTGTGTGTGTGTGTGTGTGTGTGTGTTCGTGGTAGTGGGGAGTTCAGGCTGGTAGAACTCATTCTGTGGTCTAAAGAAGTACCCACCACCCCGAGCTCAAATCTGCTTTCATCTCTAACACACAGTAGAAATACAGTATTTGCTGAATGAGCCAGGCCTGATGGTACAGGTCTGAAATTTTAACAGGCAATGTGGTGCATGCTTCTAGTCTCAGCACTTGGAGGCAGATCCCTTTGAGTTCAAGGTCAGTCTGGTATATTTAGAGAATTTCAGGACATTCAGAACTACAATAGGAGACCCTATCTGAAACTCTCAAACAAATTACCACCCCCACCAAGTAAATCAATAAATATGAAATCTTACGCAATGTGAAGGCTGAGGGAAGCTCACAAGTTCAGTTAGCCTGGCTAACTTAGCAAGATTTCACAGAAAAACAAATACTGAATCTATGGACCCTAAAAGAGTGTTCTGACTAAAGTGACAAGAAGACAAAACAAAACCCACTTCGTTGGCTCTAAAAGATTTCTGTGAAACACTGAAATGAAAGCCACTAAAATCAGTCAAATCATTTTACAGAGGATCCTGTGCCCTGAAAAGTCATGCCTTTCCTGAGATAACATGCCACACTATAGTAAGGACCAGATTTCAGGCCTAATTTCTCTCAAGGGACAAAAGGGGGGCTATTTTTATGTGTATGCATGTTCTCAGCATTATTTCTGTGCCCCTCATGAATGCCCAAGGAAGCCAAAAGAGGGTCTTGGGTCCCCTGGGACTGTAGTTACAACTGGTTGTGAGCTACCATCTGGGTGCTGGGAATAGAATCCCAGGTCCTCTGCAAGATCAGCCAGTACTCTTAACCACTGAGATATCTTTTCAATCTAGGCCTAATTTCTTGAGGCAATCCCTTGTCCCATGAGGAATTCTGAAGTAAAGGTAGCAAGTACTGTGATCTAAGGTCAAGTTTGAAATCAAGAGAGTGCAGCTGGCCAGCCTCTAAGTCCTGGAAGTCCAGGCCATGCCAAGCCGGCAGGGTGAGAACTACAACTCCCAACAATCCTTGCAACAACCCCAGATGCCCGCCCTCCACCCAGAGGCCAAGTAGCCATGTTGACTGGGGCTGCAGACCCAAGCCTAAGAGAAAGACCAAAGCAGTGATTAGAGATAAAGGGTGCAAATGGGAGCACTGGGGAGACAGAGAGGATGAGTGAGTAGAATAAGCTAGGTGAGCATGACTCGGAAGGCCATCTTGCCCCAGACTTGGAGGTCTTTAGGCTTCTGGACCCCTCCCCTTTCCCCCGTGGCCTCTAGGGACTTCGGTCCAACCCCGCCCCCTCAGGGCACAACTCAACTAGGCCCAGCCCAACAATCAGGAGATGCTGGGGTGTGGGAACCTGGTGGAAAGGCACGCAGTTCTCCCACAAACGTGATCCCCATCACTATGACAACTCAACCCCGCCCCCAGGGCCACTCAGCAACTAGGAATGTGACCACCCCTCCCCCAGGTCTTCCATCCAAGATTGGGGAGGAGGGGACACAAAACACGGCACCCCACCCCCCAGGCCCATAGTCTGGCAAGCAGGTCCTGAGCTGTATTTGAAACTAAGCTAGGACAGGAAGGCGAGTGGGGGTGGGGACGGGGAGGAGCTGGACAAGATACCTGGCTCCAGTTATCAGCTAGCCTCTTCTCAGAGGGCGTTAGCAAAAATAAATTGAGGAGCCTAAGAAATCCCAAGAGAAGGTGGTTAAAAAGATTCTCCACTATAAGCTTCTCTGGGGTGAAAGGCCTGACACCTACGCCCGGAAAAGGGGGGGCGGGGGCCGCGGCAGCGGCTCAAGCCAGGGTATTACTGTACTTTTAATCTGGTGGTTATACACGTGTAATGAAAAGGGAGAGGTGACTCCAAAAGAAAAGGGGTGGGGGGAAGGGCTAGGCTTGAGGCTCTCTCCAAGAACACAGGCTGCAACAACTGGATATCCCAGCTTCCCACAGAGAAAGAACAACAAGCAGAATCTAACCGGTGTGGCAGGAGACCCACAAGCCTCTAGCTGCCCAGTCCCAGAAACTGGATGTAATGAGACTGACCAACTCCATCTGCCCTGCCAACTTCCTGCCACAGAAAGGTTGGGTGTGGAGTAATGAAGGCAGATGGGCTTCCTCCAGAAGAGCTAAAGGGGCTCATTCTCTATCCTAACCCTACCCATCTTACAGTAGGTGCATCAGGTAGGGTTGGGGGATGGGACTGCTTTCTGCTCAACAGCATTTCCAGCCCCCTACCCAACAAAACTGGAGAAGTCAGTTCCGTGGCAGCACCCCCATCCCTCAAGCTACAAAGGAACTCTTTCCTGGCACTGTGTCCTCTTCTAAGGTGAGGCTATTAAGTCTCAAAGAAGCTCTGTACCTGAATCTGTCTCCTAGGTGGTGCCCTTTCTACACTGTTACTAAACTCAGTGAGTCAAAGGAAAGTGAGTCAGAGTGGGGCCAGATGTGCTGGGACCCTACCACACTCCCTCCTCTAGCCAACTGGAGGAACCATTTGGGCTCACTCCTCCATCAGACAGGCTTCTAGCACTAGAAATCCGAACCTGTTAATGGTAGAATCCTTTGAAGCCATTTGCAGTGTTCAGAAGAGCAGGGAGAATTGAACACCAGGCCCACAGCACTCAGTGTCCAAACAGGTCTAAGATCAGGCATTTAGGAAGACTGAGGAAAGATAAGAACTGACCACCAACCATACCTAGGGACAGACTGATTTGACCTAGGGGAACCAGAATGTCCAGGACAGCAGGCACCTCAAAGATTTGGGATAGGGAGTGTGGCAAACTCACGGGCAGAAAAGGTGAGGGGGCAAAGGGAGAAAAGGAAGGCTCTAGGCTACTCAGGAACTTCACCAGGACTGGGGGGAGGGGAGAGGAATGGGGGAGGGGAATCTCAGGGCTTGAGCTGTTTGTTCACTGTTAATTGTCTGGAGATCCTCCAGAAAGTTAGGCAGGAAAAAGAGGAAGACGGAGTCATAACACATTCTTCCAGTCAGGTCCTATGACTTCAATCTCAAACTCTGGACCCTTAGAATCTTTTTCCCTATCACCCATGTTCCCTAGCAGTAGCTAGGTACAAGTGGTGGCCTGCATAGTGGCTGGGGATTCTGGTTACACCCTGGAGCAGCCAGCCAACCAGCCACCAGGCTTCCTCCTCCAACTCAGGAAGACCTAAGACGTGTTCTAAGGAATTGGGGGTGGAAGCCGGGCAGTGGTGGCGCACGCCTTTAATCCCAGCACTTGGGAGGCAGAGACAGGCGGATTTCTGAGTTCGAGAGTTCGAGGCTAGCCTGGTCTACAGAGTGAGTTCCAGGACAGCCAGGGCTACACAGAGAAACCCTGTCTCGAAAAAAACCAAAAAAAAAAAAAAAAAAAAAAAGGAATTGGGGGTGGGGAAGACCACAACTCAGTTTTGTCCTTTTGGGAGTCAAGGGTAATGCCTTCGAGGTGACAGCCCTGGGTGTACTTCTTCTAAGTGTAACAACCAAACCAAGCCAAGAGTTGGGTACCTCTTTGAGACCCATTCACAACATCTCAAAGGTCCAGGCTTCAATAGAGAGATTTCCTCTGTCCTGCCCTTTTGTCCTAGACACTCATAATGAAAAGAACTTGATAATGTACCTAGTCCGAGGGCAGTCCTCTAACCAAAGACTACCAAAAATCAGGGGGCTGTTCACACGGTTCCAAATCTCAGGGAGTAAGACATACCAGAAGGTTCTGTAAATCAACATTCCATAACTACTTTTCCTTGTTCAGGCATAGCTTACCTCTGAACTTTGTCTCACCTCCAGCAGGGAGAAACAGTAGAGACCTGGGTCCAGTTCTTGCCCTGCCCACCAGTGCCTTGGCATCTGGGCCAAGAAGCCAATGGATCAGAAGGTCCAAGGTAAAGTATGAGTGTTTACATGACATATACATACACTGCCTAGTTTCAGTCAGGCCCTTGAGGTCCTTCTAAGGTTCTGGAAAGAGTCTGGCTTCTCTCTGCACTTCACTCCCAGGCCATAGCCAAGCCTTATTTGACCCATTTTAAAGTTTCAGCAACAGGAGCGCAGGCAAGTAGGATTGGACACACGAACTCCTTGGGAGGGAGGGGGAGAAACTATGGAGGGCCACTTGAGTTTTCTCAAAGATCAAGGTGGCCTGACACCCTGAATAGAAACCAAGACAGCATGGAGCCTCAGAGCAGTATTGAGCCAGATGGATGAACAGTCAGCCATACTGAAAAAATCCACAAGGCAATCCTGCTTGGACCCCACCCTCCAGGCCTTTCTGAACTAGGATTTCACTTTACACAAGTCCCACACCCTAAGGGGCTGAGTCATGCCCTCACCCAGTACCAAGGGCCCCCTCTACACTCGATTTGAAAAATTCCCAGAAGCACGCGCGCGCACACACACACACACACACTTAACCTTTTCCTTGGAGGAAAGGTGATAAACACAGCAGGCTTTCAGCCCCACCCTCCTACCTGGCCAGGTGCTGGAATGGGGAAGGCCATTCTCTTGGCGGGTTGAAACAACCACATGGCTCACACTGGCCTCCCTGGCTGGAGACGCTCACTAGTGGGAAGCGGAGGAAACTCCAGCTTCCCACAATCCCCCATCTCACTAAGGTTGTCTTTACTGGATTTCCCAAGCACACGAGTGCCCTGCTATCTACAGTTCCAAGTCTGAGCTGGCTGCATATGGAGGGATATTCTTGTAGAGCTGAGGGCTAAACTGGTTATGGCAGAGTTACCCGGCCAGGGAGACCATTTCTTAAGTAAGTCTTCCCCAAGCATTCATTCCACGACCCTCCCAACTTCAGAGTTCCTACAAAATGCTCAAAGAAAGTTTGTTAGTCGCCAACTCTACATCCACCTAACCCTCTGTGGACAGGGACCCTTCGCAACTGTTTGCCCAACCAGAGAAACCTGAACTGGTGGCAACTATCAATGGAAACTCGGGGCTTAAACGGGGCTCCCCGAAGGGGTTGGGAATCGCGGCAGAAGAAGCGACACACCACCGGGCCGCTCCCCCACAGTAAGCCCGAAGCCTCGGCCACTATGAGGGAGGGCTGAGGGCGAACTGAGCACGCGGCGCTGCCCGCCAGGTGCTGGCCCCGTCGCCTCCGTTATGTAAGCCGTGGTGGGTTCCCGCCAGAGAGAGCAGGCCTGGCACCCCTGCCCCTCCGCCCGCTCTACGCTCGGCGACCGTGCCCTCCCGAGCGTTATGCAACCGCACCAGGGCCCGCGACGGCCGCGCTACTCACCCGGGCTGGCCAATGTGGGTATCCCTTCATCTTCGCGAACACCAGGTCCCCGCACTTGTACTCTTTCTGCCGGTTGGATCGCGACATGGCGGGGCCGCGAGCGCCCCGGGCTCCGCGCCGAGCCGGGAAGCGCGAGCCCAAGTTTGCGCGTGCGGCGGTTGCGGCGCCGCTGCGCTCCGGCCCTCGCGCGGCCCCCGCCTCGATGCTGGCCCCCGACGCGAGCTCCGGAGCAGCCACGGCGTCTGCGCCCGCGCGCCGCTCGGATGGGGCGGGCGCGGTGGGCAACGCTCGGCTCGGAGAGCGCTCGTGCGGTTGTTTGTGTTTGAAATTCAATTGCTCCCTCCTCAGCTCCAGGCCGCTTCCTCCACCCCCCGCGGCCCACTCCTCCCCTCGCGCTCCCGCCCGTGGCGGTTCGATGCGCGCAGCCACTTGACGCCTACTGCCTGGCCCGGCCTCACGCCCAACCTGGAAGCCGGCAGGCGGAGCTCAAAAGCACAGGCCTGAAGAGCCGAACGCCGAGCGCGCTGAGCGGGCTTTGTGTGCGGGCGGGTGGTGGGTGCCAGCCCAAAAGGAGCTGGCGCCTGCTGGACAAGCTGCACGTGCCCCTCCCCTGGCTCCGCTGGGCGCCCTGGCCAGGCGGGGCCTACTGTGGCCTTCCTTGTGCTCTGTCCCCCTACCACGTGCCTTGTCCCAACCCACGTATCTGCTCTGCGCCCCTGACTTCTAGCTAGATAGACGGCCAAAGCGAGAGGTGTAGCGCTCCCTCCCCACCCCCACCACCGGACAACCCGGGCTTCCACGTGCTTCTGTTGGCGGGGTGTAAGAGTTCGAATCCTACTATTTCAACCTACTATATAGAGGAATGGCTCGAAATTAGTAGCTGTAACTGGACTTCCACCAATTAACCTCACTAGAATGAGGGGTCCTAAACGGTAAAGACAGTTGGATACCACTAAATCTAGTTTGGAGTTTTATAGTCCTCTTAGTTTGAGAGGACTTTACCAAAGTGGAATCTTTGAGAATGTGTGAGACTTTGCCAAATTCTAGAAGACTATATTTGGCCTGGACTATATTCTAAAGAATGATATGCTCAAAACTTGATCTCAGATCTCAAACAAGATTTGGTTGTATTTACATCTCTGTGCAGCTGGTTTTTTTGTTTATATGTTTGTTTGTTTGTTTGTTTTACTTTATTTGAGACAGTCTAGCTATGTAGCCCTTGTTGGCCTGGAACTCACAGAGTTCCACACATATTCTCCTTTTAAAGAGATTTGAAGTTATCATTTCTGTTTTTGAGTGTATGCTACATGTGTGCAGAAGAGAGTGTCAGATCCCCTGAGGCTGGAGTTGCAGGCCTTTGGGAGCCCACTAACATGGGTTCAGGGAACTGAGCTTGGGTCTCATGTAAAAGCAGCATCTGACCATCTTTCCAGCCATAATCACAAGTTCTTAATGGAGTTTCATGAGTTTCCTTGTGTCCTATAAGTATGAAGTTTTACATGTTTTTAAACTCAAAATCATGCACATAAAAATTTAGTTAAAACTGAAGGTCCTACCCTTTTCTCCACTTGGTTGAAAGGTATCAATAAGACTTCTAAATTATTATTATTTATTTAGTATAGAATAGAGTTTAGGGTATGGGGAAGTGAGTTGAGGGGGGAGTAGAGAAAGAGAGAGAGAGGAAGAAAAAGAGGAGGAGGAGGAGAGGCTAGGCATGAAGGAGGGCAGGGGAATGGGGAGGGAAGGGGACAGAGAGGGAAGAAGGAAAGAGAGGAAGAGCAAGAGCAACTTCTAAATTCTTGATGGGGCTGAGAATGGAACTCCCTGGTAGAGCAGGAAAAAGGCCTTGGGTTTGATCCCCAGCGCTCGAGTGTTTGATCACACACACACACTCACAAGTTTCTGCTGGCAGCAGCCCTCTTGGCCCATCCCTCAACGGCCCATGCAGACTGCATGCCACAAGCAGTGTTCCTTCTGTTGTAACCTTCCTGGCTTTGGTTGCAATTTAATATCCACGTTCTTACATCAACTCCTCCAGCTGCCCTAACCCAAGCCAAGAACCCCGGAGGTTCAGTTACAGCCTGAGCAGAAGCCTGGACCCTTGGGGAGCCAGCTCCAGCTGCCCTAACCCAAGCCAAGAACCCCAGAGGTTCAGTTACAGCCTGAGCAGAAGCCTGGACCCTTGGGGAGCCAGGATTGTCTTTGTTCTTTGAGAGCGGGAATTTTCTTAAAGAGAGCAGATTTTAATTTGTCTGGCTTGGGGGTGTGTGCATTTCTAACAAGCTGTAAGACAAGAGCAGCACCTGCAAACCGCCACCGTTGGAGCAGTAAGGCCTTAAGAAAAAGTGACTGACCGTTTTGTTTCTCTAGCCTTCAGTTAAGAAGGCTATAAATAAACAAACCTGTGACAAAGGCCATCACAGGTATGGAAAAAAAATCATCACACACTAATTCTAACTGTATAGTGTCCGATTCACAGTTTCTAACTGTACAGTGTCCTGGTCACAGTCTTCTTAAAGTGTCAGCATGTCCCAAGTTTGTGATCACTTAAAAGGAAAATGAACATTAATCTAAGTAATAAAACTTCAGTGATTCTCCTTTTTTGATATTTTTGTATAAAAGTAAAAAAGGGCTGGAGATGTGGTTCAGTTGGTGGAGTGCTTGCCTGGCATCCTGAGGCCCTGGGCTTGGGCCCCAGCACCTCATTATCCTGCAATAGTGTAGAATACTCATGATAGAGAATTGGAAGTTCCAGGCCATCCTCAGAGACATGGCAAGTTTGAGGCCATCCTGACATGCATAAAATCCTGACTTAAAGAAGAGATAAGGGCTGGAAAATAGGGCTCAGCCATCATGAACCTGCTTGGCTCTTGGAGAAGACTGGAGTTCAGTTCCCAACACTCACGATCTCTTCTGGCTTCTGCAGATACTGCAAATACATGTGTACATACATGTGTACATACCCACAGCACACACACATAAATAAAAACTAAATCCTAAAAACGGCGCAAGAGATGACTCAGTGGTAAACACCATTGGCTGCTTGCTCGTCCAGAGGACCTGGGTTTAATTTCCAGCACCCATATGGCACCTTCCAATTGTCTGTAACTTGAGTTTCAGAAGATCTTGACACTCTTACACAGATACACATGCAGCCAAAGCTACAACACACATAAAAATAAATTAATTTTTAAAAATCCTAAAAATAAAACAAAAAAAAGGTATCAGAAAAAAATGACAATATAAACTAGGGAGATGTTTGAGCTTTGGGAAACTAATGCATTAATGTCTGCTTCGATGGAAGAGGGTGCACTTCTGAGTGAGCTCTCAGGGTGTGTACCAGCCATTTCATGTCTCTAAGAAGAGAGACCCTATAAAAGTCTAATAAAGGTCTGGAGAGATGGCTCAGCAGATCTCTCCGCTGTAAGATCCTGTCTCAAATAAATAAATAAATAAATAAATAAATAAATAAATAAATGGCTTTGGCCATTGTGGAATTCTGTCTTCATGGCAGTTTGCGTGATGTTATCCACTTATAACACACTCTTGCACACACATATTCTTGTGTGTATGTGTATATGTGTATTTGGTTTATATGTATCTACTTTATAAATGTGAGGATCTGAGGTCAATCTCCAGAACCCACAAAAAATGCTAGATGTGGTGGCGTGTGCTTATAATCCCAAGGCTAGGGAAGCAGGGACAGGCAAATTCCTGGGGTCTAGGTTACTTTGTAAACACCAGGCTAGTAAGAGACCCTCCCTCAATTGAGGTGGATAGTGTTTCTGAAGATGATATTCTCCAAGTCCCATCTGATCATTACGTGTATGTACATACAGCCACATGTACCTGAACAGAAACATACAGAGATACATAATTATATATATAAAAAAAGAACATCAAAAACAAAAAAACAGAGGCAGGCAGATTTCTGAGTTCGAGGCCAGCGTGGTCTACAGAGTGAGTTCCAGGACAGCCAGGGCTGCACAGAGAAACCCTGTCTCGAAAAACCAAACACAAACAAACACAGGGCAAAGTGGTTCATGCCTTTAATCCCTGCACTAGGGAAGCAGAGGCAGGCAGATCTCTAGTTCCAGGCCAGCCTGGTCTATAGGACAGCCAGAGCTACATAATGAGACTCAAACAAACAACAAAAAAGCAATGTTTACTGTCTTCAAGATAACATTATATGCCTATTTTTTGCAGTGTTTGTAATGGTAGATTGAAACATTATTGATATTCCTGATTTACAATGTTACCACAAGCACAAGTATGTTCTGAGGGTGCCAGTTCAATCCTTGTACTTGGACGCGCTGGACCAGCACTCTACCAACTAAGCCACAACCACAGGTGTGCAATGCTTACTGATTTCATGTAGTAGTCTTCTGTGACAGCCTTGCTACTAAATTTTCAAGAAAATGCAAAGATTGTGTGTGTGTGTTTCTTTTGCATGAATTTTACTACAGCACACTCATCACATTTCCTCTTTTCTATAGATTCCTTCCTGTGAAGACATGAAGGCCACCCGTTCCCTGTTGTAGGTTGTTCCCCGGCCACACTCGACTGGGACTGAGTGGTTTACCGCCCGTCCTTTGGTTAACATCAGTAATGTGGGTATGAATAATACCGTGCATCTCCTTTCCCACAGGAGTGAGACCCCTGCCACTTTTCTCTCTACTTTGAAGCTAGAAAAGGGTTGACGTCTCTGCCAGCAATGCTGCTCACAGGACCTTGCTGACAACAGACCACAGAATGCATGAAAGCCACCCATCTAAGTCACGAACCTCAAGCTCCTTTGTTCTCCTTGTAATCCCTGGAGACTAAAGTACTGAGGTGTGGAGCTAGAGTCAGAAGGACAGTCGGTTGGCTTTGACATCTTGTTACACCCTTCACTTCTCCATCCAAGGGTGTTGCCACAGAGATACTGGGGACAGGAAATGAGGGGGGGTCTGTGTCTCTCTCTTCTGGACTGATAAGATTGTTAAGCCCTGGTGGGCTCTCTGCCTCCTCCTCAGGGATGATAACCTCTTCTGTTATCAGGCTGAAAGTCTGGTGCTACTGCAGGAGGCTGATTGTAGTTTCTGTTGAGGACAGATGGCAGTGGTGGATACTGAAAGGCCATTTCTGCTACCACATTTTGCCTGTGGGCTCAAGGGCTTGGTTCGTTTGCTTGGGCCTTCATTCCTCCCATGATCTCTCTTGGCTGCTGGAGGGCAGACCTGGCGTGGATCAGCGCTGGGCCTTGGGAGGGACAGCAGGGTGTGGTAATGCACACCTTTAATACCAGCAGCACTTCGGAGGCAGCACAAGGTAGATCTTTGTGAATTCCAGGCCAGCCTAATCTGTAATGCAA